GATTAAGTGAGGGTGACTCGATAACTTTATTAAACTCTAAAATTTATATAATTTTAATACATAGCATATATAATGTATATATATATATATACAAAATATATATTAAAAATGTACATTTTTCGGCTATTATTTTGAAAGTGTCTATACAGTGTCATTTTTGCCTAAAATAAAATATACTCTGATGATTCGACTTTGTATTTCAATTGAGAATTTCTCAAGAATCATCAAATAGGGAAAAAGGGTTTAAGCGGATGAATTTAAAATACAGTGGATCGAGTTCCTCCTTAACTATGGTTGGGAAGCCTTGTTAATGTTTTTTGGCTGAGGTTTCTAACGAAATGGTGCCAATGGAGGTTTAACTAATCAAGGTTTCGTAATTATGTTAACATTGCCTTTTAGCCTAGCAGTATATACATTTTTCTTGCTAAAGCAGCAACATTGTAGAAATATATACAAATGGTATATTTATTTAGCTAACTTTGAACAAACAAGCTTGTGGACTCTTCTTCATTTCGTAAGAAATGGTGATTTACTGTACAAAGTAATAGTCTTTCATCCAGAAAAGGAAAAAATAGTAGTCTTTACATGTTAATTGTATTGGGACCATAATGTTCTGCAGCTCCCAATTTTACGTGCAGACGGTTATTATTTATTTGTTTGTCTTAAGATGTTTTTAGGACATTATTAAGAAAATCGAAAGGTGCACTACCTTGTAATAAGTGAGTGAATGTCCTTTTTCTGGCACTTGTATATTCCAGTCTCATAGAGTCGTGCTAGAATAAATTTCTAACACTAGGGGATTTCCATAATTGAATGCATTGCTGCGTGCTTGCAGAATCATATACTAACGATTTTTACCTAGCTATACTATAGTAGAAACCTATTTACTACTTTTATTTAGGTTTCTTATTAATAACTATATATACTTATATTTACTTGTTTTACCCAAAACCTTAAAAAAAGAGGAAATAAAATATACCTTAAATAGTGGGAATCAGTTACATAAAATATCCCACATTTAAGATACCCCAAAATCAATACTTACCCAAAATCCCTTCATTTCCTCAATAAACCCACCATAAAATCATTCAGATTTTAATCTATTCTATTCAGATTTTACGCAGCTCCGTTTATGGTAGGAAAAAGAAGAGATGGAGATTATGGGCGAAGATTGAGGGATTTTAAGGTAGATGAATCCCAGATACCTTACTCGTAACTGAACGCGTTTGTTACGGTAGTATTAAAAACGTACGGGCTTGGAAAGTTAATATACTAATTGTATAAAAATTGTTAAAGAAAGTACGATATTTGGGGAAAACTACTAAACCTAGAGAAAATTAGTAATATAGTCTTTATTATAGTATTACTAGGAAAAACTCCCTACTACATTTTGCAGAGTCATCAAAATGAATTTGGATTGTGTCCAATCCAGTCTACTAATTGGGTGGAGTTGGACTGACATTTCTCTAGCCCATGTAAAACTGGGGCTTTCAACTCAACCCAAATCAGTCATCGGCTGGGCGAAGTGTAACAATAGTTACTTTTAAGCCAGTTCTTTAAAATATATACATAATTTATAATATATTTAAAAATTAGCTAATTCATTCAAACTTTAGGACTAAGTATCCTGAATTTGGAAATTTAGAACTTAGTATCCTGAATTTTTTAGTTGCTAATTTAAAATTCAAGACTCTTCGTCTTGAATTTCTGAACAACAAATTTAAAATTCAAGACATAAGATTCGAACTTTTAGATATAATTTTAAACTTTTAGGACAAGATATCCTGAAGTTTGAACTTTGAGGTTTAAACCCTAGGACGCCTTTAACCAAAAAAAAAACCTAGGATGTCGTGCCCTGAAGTTTGAACAAAAGCGGCTAATCTTTAAATACATTATAAACTATAGATATATTTTAAACAACTGCTTAAAAGTGATTACCTTGTGTCATTTCAACTCATCGGCCTCATGGGTTGGACTACTTGGTCCATGGATAAAACATGGAATTTTTACATTCCTATGTCACATAGGAAACCTTATTACCCTCAATGTTTAAGGTTTGACTTAATTACACTTAGTATACCAAATTACCAATTCTATACCATAGTGTATTTTAAGGGTACAATTAATGCAGCGTATATCCCTCCTTAATTCAAGGTACCGTATATCTCACCCCTCCCACGTTTCTCTCTCCCAAACCCTCACCATCACTCACGTTTTCTTTCTCTGATAGAATAGGTGGTTATTGCTTACGTCGTCAAATCTCAGCAAAGCTGCCTGGGGAAGTCTTCAGAAAAATAATTCTCAGTTGATGATTTGTTCCTATGAGGCATTTTTGTTTCTCTCTGAGAGACTAGAAGCATTCAAGAGATGAACTGACATAGATACCAATGATATGTAATTAGTAAAAAGTTCCAAATTTGTACCTGAACTATCGACTATTGCTTACTTTTACCTTTCGTTACACTTTGCCAACAAGAATGCACTTGCTCTTAAGAACCACTTTGCCCCTTTTTTTTATCAGATGCCCTCCTTATGTGCATTTTAATCAGTCCTGCCACTATAAATATGGCAGCGCATAGGTATTTTCGATATAATCTACAATTAGAATACAAATATCTATAATTTATCTACAAAATATCTACAAATTGGGTACATTGAATTTTAATATCCCAATTCCCATTCAATTGTAGCTTAATTGGTATTTTCGACATAATTGCGTTTTTTGCAGAAGATTTTGTAGAAGTTTTAGTCGTTTTGGATTTGTGAAAACAGAAAACAAAGCATCTACAATTAGAATACAAATATTCTACAATTTATCTACAAAATATCTACAAACTAGGTATATTGAATTTTAATATCCCAATTCTCATTCAATTGTAGCTTAATTGGTATTTTCGACATAATTGCATTTTTTGCAGAAGATTTTGTAGAAGTTTTAGTCGTTTTGGATTTGTGAAAACAGAAAACAAAGCATCTACAATTAGAATGCAAATAATTTACAATTTATCTACAAAATATCTACAAACTGGGTACACTGAATTTTTATATCCCAATTCTCATTCAATTGTAGCATAATTGGAATTTTTGACATAATTGCGTTTTTCTAGAAGATTTGTAGAAGTTTTAGCCATTTTTTATTTGTGAAAATAGAAAATAAAGCATCTACAATCAGAATACAAATAATCTACAATTTATCTACAATTTCTGCAATATGTCTTCTTCTTCTTCGAGTTTCAATCTGAAATTCAGTCAAAACCAAGTCTAATCTTCACCAAAATCCCTCAAAATTGATATATAAAGTCCAAACCATATTCCCGATTATTTTCAACAACACCCAATTCAAACAAATAATAATTTTGAAAACCTAAATTTGAACTCAAAGCTTTCAAGCTTTTTAATGGTTGTCAATGGTGGAATTGCTGCTTTCTTTTCATTTGCTTTGTATTACTGAAATTTGCAATTGAGAAATAGAGAAAATGTCGACGAACTGAGCTTTTGCAGAACTGATTTCTAAAATTTGATTCGAATTTGTTGACGATTTTGTCTTTTTTTGATTTGTGGCTTAAGGAAAAATATCGAAGAACAGAGTTTTTGCAGAAAAGAGTTTATGTAATTTGATTTTAAATTAAAGATATAGGATTTGCGTTTCAAATTTGATTTGAAGGTCGCTAAATCAATTAGAAATTATGTTCCTGATTTGTAGCGCGCCTAATTAGGAAGGAATCAGCTCCTAATAATTAGTATTTAATGAATGGTATAATAATTGTAGAAAAACTGAAAACATAGCGGATAAATATGAAACTATGCACATTTTTGGTAATAAGGTTTTATATATGGTATAGGAAGGGAAAAGTCTCATAAAACATTGAAGAAACACTAAAAGACATCAAACCTTTAAAAAGAACAAAAACAAAAAAAAACAAAACAAGCAAACACATTAACGAAGTGTCCCGACATCACTTGATTGGTTAGTAGTTTTTCGAATCCTATTTCCTAATAAATTATCTCCTAATTTTCAAAGATAGTTCGATATAACCACAACGCTTTACCAGGACACTGCCATTCTCCATTAATCACACTCGGAAATCTTAAACCAGTGTTCTTGCTGGGGTAGTTCTGCATCTGCATATCATACTAATTCAACCGTAAATCAGTCTCTACAATCAATTTTCTGTTCCACATCATGCAACTTGAAGACACACTCTAATAACCCAAAGGGTGTTCTATTTCTTTTCTTTTAGCGATAAGAGAGTTGCTCCCTCCCCTATATGCCCAGACAGAAGATACAAGCTCTGGATCCCATCGCCCCTTGGATATTATCAAAAGCAACCTCATTTTAATATGCATCTGACTAAAGTGAAACATGAAAGACGCAGTGAAAAGAAATCCGAACATCCTTCTCCCAGAACTATCCACTAGCAAAGATAAAATTGCTCAAATATATGCATGGCATCTTAATGATAGATCCGCACGTCTCACACCTAACTGACAAATATTGCACAAGATAGCAAGAAATGAAGACACAAAGTGCATCTCTGAGATGATCACATTGGACTTATATCAGAAGCTTTTTCAAGTTTCAGTTTACTTGCCGACTTCCCAATCCCAACAAACATTTTCATCTTTCGACTTCCTTGCGCCTGAATTAATTCTTGGACAAGCAAGATGTTATCAGAAGTTCCCCTTCAAGGGATAAAGCACCCTTAAGAGCGACACACACAATTTCAACATGAGTTTTATTATGCAGCAATCACGTAAGTCATAACTATATATATTCCATTACTTGGAGAAACAAGACTAAATAGGCAAACGTAATGAAGAGTTATCATACTTAGGAATGAGAATAGGATTGTGAACTCTTCATGATGTAGGAGACTTATTTGCTGTAGGAGACTTACATATATATAACACTTATTTGCTTTTGCTTTTATTTTTATTTTTTATGTAGCTTATGGAAGTGTCAAACTGAAGCAAACATGAAAAACTGGTTGCGCATAAAATGGTTCAAGAAACTACTCATGCTTTTTGTTGAACATAATGCACATACAGAGATCAAGTTTAGCTCATGCTTTTTAAACAGCAGGTCTCAATAATTAAAAAACGGAACACAATATAGGCCCTAATGCATGAATTTTTCAATAAGGATAATTAGAGAATTCTGCTAATGTATAACCATACCCATAGCTACCCTCTGCAATTCATATAACTTCGCCCAAGAGCTACAGATGACATTTTAATGTAACAAGCAAAATAGAAAGACAGTGACCATGCTTAGAAGGATCTGAGAGCAAAATCATGAGCACAAGCGAGAACAAGACTATAATACGGCTTCACCGAGTCTCCCAATCCTTCAATTTCTTACCCTTAGGCTTCGCAATAGGAGCATTAACAGCAGCCATTTTCGCATTGTACTTGGCTCGAAGAGTGTCATTGTATGTCCACCTGCGCAAAAAGCAATTGTCAATCAATAAGTGCAAACATTAATACCAGAGTCATACATAGATAAAGCTGGACACTGAACCAGAAAGCACAAACAATACAATACATTGAAGTTTTTGAAACAGTTAAACATATTTTCCCTTTTCAACTTCGTCTACAGGAGGACATTCAACTAAGAAATATACACACACATCACCTAACTGAGATAGTGAAAAGTCAAATAAGAGTAGCCCTCCTATTAGCCAGCAAGTACCAGCATTCAATTGGCTAAGGCAAAAGAGTAGGTATGATTTCATCACAACAGAAGGAATAAGCAATCCTAGCATTAGACAAAGACTAGCAGGGCTACATGGGAAGTCTTCAATGAAAACTAGCGACTTGGTCAATGAAAAATATTAATATACCTCCTCTCAGTTCAAGTATGCCCCCGAGCCAGACGTCAAATGGAGGGGACCCGGATGCTAGGTATTTTCTTTCTTCTGACCTTAGCTGATAGCTGAAATCCAGAAGTTCTAAGCTAATATGCTATAATATAGGCTCTAAAGGCATTACTCGACTGAAAAGACTACTTTTATTTACTTTGTAATGAGGTAGTAATTTTACTAATATGAAAACAATGCTTATATTTTGGGGAATTCCTTTTCCAAAATCGAACTTACAGAACAGGAAGCAAAGTTATGTGTACCATTATCTGGCTAATGTAATAATCTTCTATGTTCCTCCTGAATGATTTTAATAAGCAAATCTGTGCCCAAACTCTGAACTCCCAGTCACAACCTTCCTCTGCTATACGAGGCTTTCATTTCTTTTCCTACCCGGCGGGCAGGTATATTACCATGACAAAGCACCCTAACCATCAAATCAGAATACAAGCGCATTTTCAAAGGAGCAGAGAGAAAAGAATGCTCCTATCACTGATAATTAGGAAAAGATCAACCACTTTGTTACCACCATGACACATAATAGGCAGTCTAAATTTTCAAGGCCCCAAAATTTTTAAATTGATCTATCTTCTGTATTTGATGGCTTCAATGCTAGAAGTACCACCCAGACAAGAAACATCTGAGTAGACAATAGAATTCTTCCTATTCATTCCCCAAAATGCACTTTTAAAAAGAATTTCTCCTTTGGAATCCTCTATCAACCACCACAATTTGTATCACACTAAACCCCGCCCTAGAATCTGATACACATAAGACAAACCTCTCTACAGCCGGAGATGCGCATCACTCTCTCTTAAGACCTTTGGCTAGTTAAAATTTAATCACTTCACTGGCCAGGGTAATACTTAAGAAATTCAACCAAGAGAATAATAGAAAGAGAAGGTCATCAATCTAGCTGGCAGGAATCCACCAGCATATAAGACAAGGCCCATGGGCTCATATCAACCCCCCTCCCCGGTCCCCACCCAATAAAAAGAAAAAAAGAAAGAGAAAGAGAGGGAGCAGCTGTTATCAGTTGTAAGAGACACTCCAACTTGATGCATACAAGTCGTCCACTTCATAGAAGTCCAGCTAAGACTCCTGATACTAACTTCGCAGATTTAGAGCTGTTATTCTCCTAATAGTTCTGACACAACCGTGAAACATCTGAAGTATGATTAAGTATTCAATGATTATGTACTTCAATTTTCTCCTTTGCTTTGACATACACCAAATCCAATTCGAGATGCCAACAATTGAGAGATATTACCAGTTTCAAGAAAATCCAACATGCTAACAAATACAAACTGTGACATCCCTTTAACCACAAAGTAAAAGGGCAGCTAAGTTGTTCAAAGCCTGTGAAAGTTACTATTCCATTGCATTGAAACCAATAAACCAAATGCTAATGTGAAACAAACAACTGGACGTAATGAAGCATGTATTATTTAGAAATGCTAATCCTGCTGAACTATATGACATATTGATCGAAAGATGAGTAGGTAATATAGAAGGTTTATGGTACTTACGGGTTGTTCCAATCAGTTGTATCCTCATTGACAAGATGTGTCCATTTTGTCCTTCCACTACGACCAAAGTGTTTAACCTGCATGACTTTTGGTAGTATGGACTTATCCAACTTATCCTCCCCCGTTGGTGCAGAGAAATCACGATGGTATATATTATCAGCACCAGAAGTTCCAGCGGTGTCATCAGGATCTGACTGGAAGAAAGCACCCTTATGGAAGTATTTCTGCATAAACTTCCACTTCTGCTTGGGTGGTGGGGCAGGTTTCGGGTTTCTCCTCTCCCACTCCTTCCTCTCTTCTTCTGTCATGTTTCTTACCCTCTCTATTTCTTCCCTCTCCTTCCGACTAGCCTCCCTGTCGTCCCTCTCCCTCTTGATCCTAGCAATTTCTCTGGACTTCCAAGCTTCGTATTCTTCAGCCTCATTCACCTCATCATCAGTATCTACATCAGCAATATTAGCTTCCAGCTCCAAATTTTTCTGAATAATTTCTTCCTCACGTATCTTCTCAACAACTATTTGCTTTGTTTCAACTTTTCTCTCCTCTAACCTCTTCTTCACTAACTCCTCGAGAGCTCGTTCCTCAGCCTCACGCTTCTCACGCTCATCTATGGTGTCTCTCTCAGATTTTGGAACAAAAACTGGTTTCACCATTGCTATCCCTGTTGTTTCTTCTTCTGATTCTGTCTCATATTCTGACTCTTCTTCCTCCTCTTCCTCTGCCTCCTCTTCTTCTTCCTCTGGCAGAGCTTCTTCCTGTTGCCTCTGAAGATTCTTTTCCTTGATTCTCCTCCTCCTTTCGTCCAATGCATCTTCATCGTCCTCCTCAAATTCCATTCTTTCCAGTCTTCTATTTTCCTCTTCTATGGTTGAAACAATCTCTGCTTGCCGGATGCGTCGATGATCCGCTCTGATTTCCTCACGATTATCAACTCTACTCTCTGCCAGTCGACGCAGCCTTGCATCATCCTTTCTTGCAATGTCAGAACCGCCTTGGCTAGGAAAAGCTTTCTCAAGCGCTGCTTCCCTGGTCATCCTAAGATCCTCATCTTTTTCCGCTTCATCTGCCCACTCAGGAGCTTTACCAGGCCAATATCTTTTCACTTTTGTTTGGCCAATTTTACCCCTGAGCTTTTCCCTAATTGCGATAATTGTGTCACTTACACCAGCTGTTACAGACATTTTTACAACAAAAAGAAGCCCCTTGAAGAAAATGGTATGTCACGAAGTAGTGGACGATTTATCTGCTTCAAGCCTCCGGACACAATGATATAATCTCCTGATACTAAGATAAAAATGATAATAAATTAGATGAGATTACATGTGTGTGTGTATACAATATCTTCTTCTGGCACTGCTACACAAAATTTAAAAAACAACCACATTACAACCAATGCATATCTGCATAACTAATCAAGGAGAGTGCCTGGCAGAACTTATACTTGTCAGGAAAAAAAATTGAGATGGGTAATAGCTTAGGGTTAAATTAACGATGAATAGACCTTACAATCATGAAAGTAAAGCTTTGGTAGGGCAGCGAAGCTGGTAAAAACATTTTTTAAAACCTTAGTTCTTCTTCTCTTGAATATAAAACCCTAGTCCTTCTTCCACAAAGGAACCCTAAAACCAAGTACGAGACAATACTAAAATCTCCAGCTCAAAACAAACTTAGATTACAGTAATTGAAGAAATTTTAAAAGAAAATACAGTCATATATATAGAAGTTATATCTCATTTATGAACAGCTCATCACTCTAGACAATAAACACACTATGCTTCAAACGAATTGCATTCATAAAGCGCAGACGTTAAGAAAAAAAAATTATCATTAAGCGAAATAGAAACTCACCGTAGACTCAAAACGGGTGATGAAAGCGCCGGAGATTCACGTTGAGAATCGGCTCGCTCGATAATGGCGGTCTTCGACCAGAGGAACACTCCGAATCGTAAAAGCAAAATTTTACACCTTCTGCCCTATTTATATTTCATACCCAGGTAAATCTAACCTTAAAAAGAAATATCCAACTTAACCCTTTACAAAAAGGAAAAATATATTTGGCCACACTAATAATGACCCAAATGTCCACAACGGGGCATTATGGTAACTTTACATGGCTTTTTGAGGGAATAATGGATAATTGTACATTTTTGTTTTCTATCTCTACCCTTTAGCAGATTTTTATTTTAATTCAATTTTTTCAAACCCGTTTCAGTTGAAGGATCTGGAGAAGTATAACTCGATAGTGTTGAGACAGTTCAAGGAATGGAAAGGGTGGATGTGGTTTCCCAAAGCGTGGTGGATGCTAAGGAGTAATTGTCCGGGAATTCTACGCCAATGTGGCACACATCAAAAAGGGGACAAAGGTGACAAAAGGGAGAAACCTCAAAGTGCGATTTGATCAGCACACATTGAACACATACTTGGGATTTGATGATATCGAGCCCACACAGTACTTAGAGAAGTATGCACTTGGGGAAGCAGCTCGTCCTTGGTTAACAGAGATTCTAGCAGCTCCTGGGCCGCCACCACCATGGATCACATCAGGGGTTCCTATTTAGAGGAACACTCTAAACTTTGAGGCGAAGGGGTAGAAAACCTTTGTCTGCAGCAGACTAGATCCGTGCCAGAATGAGACCTATCTTTTGATTTTGGGGCATTTCTAGTTGCTTCTATCATGGCCGGGTACCCAATCAATGTGGGTGTCGTGGTGTCGGCCAATATCTTTATGATCGCTAGGCAAGCTGACTCGTCTTACTCGTATCCCAACACTATTACAGAGTATCTCATGGATGTGGGGGGTAGAGCCAAGGGATTATGATACGAAGTTGCGGCCGAAAAAGCCTTTCTCATGGTACTCTTTGATGGATGCTAAGAACCCAAAAAGGAAGGTTCGGCCTCCTACCACTGCGGGCCAGTCTGACGAGCCATCTATGGTAGTTGCAGAGGCAGTTGATGGTCCATCCACTTCAGTCGAGCCTTCTTCCAATGCCGCAGCGATGCCTCCACTATCACCTTCAGCTCCCACTGCATTTCCTGCCACAAGTTCCACCTTGGCTTTGAAGTCGGTGCCCATACCTATTACTTCACTTTCTGTGCTGCGAGTTTCCCAGATATTGGAGAGCCTCAATAATTAGATACAGACAGCCACTACAAAGCTATTGACATATCCAGTACTGTTGAAGCAAAGTCATCCATTCATGCACCTTAGGTTTCTCCAACAGTGGAAGATACATTGAAGAAGCTCCTGAAGAACCAGACTACTATCATGAACACTTTGGTACATCATGGGTCAATGATTGAGGAGCTGGGAAAAGAAGTAAAGAAAATGAGAAAGTCCCAGGCTTCCAAGAAGTCAGTTGACAAGCTCTGGAGAGAGGTGAGCAAGATTGCAGCAGCCGCAGATTTCCCACTTGAGATGTTGATTGATCAAGGTCTTACAGCACCATCAGCTTCATTGGCACTAGCTGGCTAGTCTGACGAGCCAGACCTGGTTGCCGACATTGCTAAGGCAGTGCGCCAGACCCGTCCATTCCCAAAATTGAAGATGATGAGATTCAGTTGGACGAGCCTGAGGGCGGTGACATTGCTGGGGACATAGAGATTTCTAATGAGCCATAAGGAGTCTTATTCACTCTTTTCCTTCCTTTATTCTTATTTTATAAAGCATGGGGACAATGCTTATTTTTTTTATTTGGGGGAGGGGAGAGGGAGGGGTGGAGTTTATTTGATGATTCTGAGACATTTGGCATGTACTTAACCTGATACTATTTTTTTTTCTCATTATGTATATATTCTCTTTCTTCTCTCAGTATGAATATATTCTCTCTCTTCTCTCATTATGTATATATCCTCTCTTTCTCTCTCATTATGTATATTCGTTCTTGAGCTGAGGGTTTATCGGAAATAACCTTTCTACTCCTTCAGTGTAGAGGTAAGGTCTTCGTACACACTACTCTCCCTAGACCCCACTTGTGGGATTTTATTGGGTCATTGTTGTTGTATGTATATTCGTTCTACTTTCAATAGTTTTTGTTTTGTAGCTTCTTTTTGTTTATTTCCTTATTAGTTAGTGTTTGATTTAGTAGCTTCTTTTTATGTTTCAGTAGATAATAAGCCTTTGATTTTTTTAATGCCACAGTTCTTTTCAAAGGTAATTATTGTGTGAACCTGGTGACTCGTCCCAACGATGGATGGAGGGACAACCTTCTTAAGGGAATGAGTCCATTTTGTGTTTAGGTAATAATAGTAGTAGTAATGAATAAAAAGACCTGATTAAGTCAAACTCGAAGAGTCAACATGCTTCATTTGGTACCAACACATTTAACTACGTGCTTATGGCTAGAGATAAGGTTTTTAAAAGGAAATAGCTCTAGTTAGTGACTTTGTGACTCTTGTATTGACTTTGATACCATCGAGTGGTCTAATTGGACCATAATGATCTTCAATCTTGAATGTGGTCATTGTGGGCCCTCGACTCTATCCTCTTTAACAATCTAGTTGCATGAGGGGTGAGATGCTTTGTTTCCAGTCCAAGTACCTGTACGGAAGGTCTAGAACTTGCCCCGAATGTATTTTAAGTCGAAATCTTATGTTTTTCTTGGCTTGAGAAGTGATTGTAGGCTCTCGTTGGCCCGTTTGAGTGTTTTATTGCCTACCAAATATGCCACCCTAGTCAACCCCTTCGAGCCTTTAGCCTTTCTCATTTGAAATCCATGTTACAAGCCTTTACCCGTTCTATCGTGACCCTCTCTTGGCACCCGAGCTTTCCTTAGCACTCATGTGAAACAAATGGCTAAAAATGTAAGTTTGGGGGAGAGAAAAAGAAATTGAAAAGAGGTATCAAGACACAAAAAGAGAAAAGAAATGATGAGAAGAAAAGGCAAAGAAAAGAAAAGAACAAAAAAGAGAAATGAAAAAAAAAGTGAATAAGTGGAAGAGTTGAAGGGATTCAAATAAAGGCAATAATCTCACAACATGAGAGAAATATGAATGTAATGATCAAGAAATAGTGATGTTAAGTCTCTATAGTCCCGCAAGGAAAACAAAATACCTCAAGGAATCAGCAAAGTGTGAGCTGAGAATTGAAAGATAGAGTGTTTAAGGAAGGTATAACCACTTATCCATATTGTATCAATCCCTAATCCAAAAGTTTTCATTACATCCCGAAAGAAGTCCTACCTGATTTTGAGCCGAGTAAGCTTACATTAGTGGTGATCTACATGAGAGGCAAGTTTATGGTACTTGAAGCCGTACTTGTGACATTCTCTTGAGAAAGATAAGTGAACCTTTCATAAACCTTTGAACTAAATGCTATATTCTTAAGTGAGCTTAGTAAATGGAAAGTAGAGGAGGAAGAGTTTGGAGTCTACCATGACCTACAAGATTGAGCGACAGTTCTTGACGAGTAAACTCAACCCTTGATGTTCAAATGTCACATTAGAGGTGTCACACCTCCTTTTTCTGGCCCCGCGAGGGGCGTAGGAGTTTTTTCCAATTAAAGGACAATCGAAACGGGATTTATTTATTTATTTTAGAGTTGCCACTTGGGAGATTTAGGGTGTCCCAAGTCACCAATTTAATCCCGAATTGAGGAAAAGAATGACTCCATACTACAGTCTGCGCACCAGAAATCTGGACAAGGAATTCTGTTAGCCCGGGAGAAGGTGTTAGGCATTCCCGAGTTCCGTGGTTCTAGCACGGTCGCTCAACTGTCATATTTGGCTTGATTATTTTATTTAATACATGTTGAACCTATGTGCAAAATTTAACTTTTAACCGCTTTTATCATTTACTATTATTTTTATCAAAAATTGCAACATCGTGGAAACACATCTCGAACCACGTCACAATTNCCAGTAACGACCAGTAGAATAACCCAGTAACAGATTGAAAACTCAGCAATACCAAAGTGCAATCGCAGTCAAAGCAGAAGAGAGACGGATACAAGATGCAGTAGTTTACTGATTTTGAATAACACTCGAGGAAAGGCAAACGGAAATTATTCAAGTGAAAGTTCAAATTGTCTTTCTCTTTTCAAAACTCTACCACATTTCTTCAGATTTTCAGAATGTATTACTCTCAAAAAATATTCTCCCCAAAAATCTCTCTAGAAAATAATCCTCCTCATCATCCTCCTCTCATCCCCCATTATATACAAAGCAAGACCTCATTTTACCTCTTTCCCCTTTAACTTTTATTATTACCCACACTTTTACTTTAGTAAAAGTAGTCAACATGGGCCTCCCATGTTCCCTCTTTTTGAAAAGTAGTCAAAGTGGCCCTCATGTTCCCTCTTTTTGAAAAGTAGTCAAAGTGGGTCCCCTTGTTCCCTCTTTTTGAAAAGAAGACATCATTATCCACCTTTTCCTTTTTGCTTTTATCATTACGTCTTGTCCCCCACCATAATTAAATAATCTGCAATTGGTTAATTCCCGTATTACCCCTAAAACTACTGTTACTGCCCTGATTCAAAATCTGTTATAACTTCAAAAATCTGTCCAAATAACAATTATCGCACATTTAAATAGCAATTAACTATAAAAATCACACAATTTAGACGTTAAATGCTAAAAATGCAACGTACATTATTTTTATGATTTTGTAAAACAAACTTAAATAAATACTAAATGCAACTGCGACATATTTTTGTAATTTTTTATTAATTTAACCAATAAACACGCACAGACAGAAATACAAATAATTATAAAAAATGCCACAAAAATTCTAAAATTGCACACAAAGGAAAATTGTTTTATTTTGGATTTTTTGGGAGTAATTCTCTCATAGGGCAAAAATCACGTGCTTACAAGAGCTATATGTGCATAAATGTTTAACTTGTTGCCTTGTCAATAATGTATGAGTAGTATGGGTAATTGTTGGTCCCAACTAACGTGCGAATGGTTCACCGTGGCTAGCTGTAATATCCCTTAACTTTTGGATGTGGGAACTATTTTATTTGTTTAAGGACAAGCAAAGACTTAAGTTTGGGAGAGTT